AAAAAACATGGAAAAAGAAATGTTTGTTTGCTACTGTTCTTTTGTAGATAGAATGACAGGCTATAATTTCTCCATAGAACTACACTTGCATGTGGGGATACAGTAGATAACGTGTCCTTCCCCCTTTAACTGACTTCAGAAGTTATGAAATAGCAAGTGGTTTTACTTAAGAGTGTTTGTGTTCACAGAGCTGATGGAGCTGCTCTCTCTGCTGTTCTCTTAGCTGGAGTAAAAGAACCTTGAGCAATGATGTGAAGAGCACACATGACCTTTTGTCATGATTTTAAGTTTTTCTTTACGAATAAGATAGGCTAATAGCTTTGAAATTTCTTTTCTTTTTATGCCTCATAAGTAATGACCAGAACTCCACATCTCCTGTCCACTTTCCTGCTTCCTGAAATGAGTGAATAAGTGCGTACTGAGGCAGTGTAATAATGAGAGGTTTCTGGCTCAGTCTGTAAGCCAGAATACCCTTTTTTTTTTTTTTTTGATCTGTTCTTACTCTTAGACTTGTCCAGTTTGGAAGGTGCTGCCAGTAATTTAAACTCCAGCTGGCATAACTCTTGGAGTCAGGGGAAGATTCAAGACTGTTGCCTCTGCCAGTGTTGGTAGGGGGGAATGGACAAACACACAGAACAAACTTAACAAAATAGCAAACAAATTAACATACATAAATATGTAAAAATGGAGTAAAGCAACTCTTTGCATAGGCATCATGTTCTAAATGGGATGGAAGATGTCAAACCATTACTCTTGACTGTCTCAACATTACTGATATTTTGGAATAATTTATTTTTGCCGTTATTCACAGAAAGAATTCGCTATTTCCAGGTTTTCTTCTGATTTAAACAGTTTTTTGTTGCTTTGGTTGTTGGCACTGACTCAAAACAATTTATTTTTCTGTCTGTAGGGTCTGTGTTCTTCCAGATTCTTAAGTACACATCTAAATGTGAACACACAAACAATATTTATGCGTGCAGAGAAACTGTTCAAGTAGTTCAAGTTAGACACATGGTTAAAAATTTTGTGGAACTGGTTATGCTGAAAATGCATGTATATAAATTATAATATGTATAATCTTTAAAATAAGTGTTTTCTCTTCCAGAAAGTACAACCAGATATCCTGAAATTATTATTAAACAGCACAGAACATATTAAAATCCTTATTTGGTAATCACAAATTTAAACCATATCTAAAGTTGTGTAATGTGATTTCCTTGAAAATCAAAAGTTTTAATATTGCTCCATTATTTTTAATCCCTATTTAAACAGTGGTGGGAGAGAAGCGGAAGAAAATTCTTTACAGGGAAAGCATAAAATAAATAAACAGAGAATGAAAAAATATAGTATCTCTGCAAAGTCTTATATGCCATCCAAAATCAACTTCATGCAGGTTGTCCAATATAAAAAAAATGATTAAAGCCTCACAAGACAGTCTCTGATATGAGCAGCTGTTGTTGAGATAATTTGCCTTCTTGCCGCTAATATGTTCATGAATTTCACTAGGAAAATCTGTCTCATGTCTTGAATCAGAAGAAGGACAAAGTAGATAGCATATTGCATGCATGATGCAAGGAGTACAGTAATGCAAAACATCTGGGTGGAGTGGACGACAACTAAAACTGATGTTCAGTCTGTTGAAAAGAAAGCTTCTCTTTTATACTTTTCCTTCAAAAAAAACCAACCAACCAACCAACTCCCCAAGAAACCCCGAAAAAAACAACCCCAAAACCCCAATCAAACCAAAACACCACAACATTAATAGATTTCTCCTCAAAGAAACATCTCCTTTTTGATCCACTAAGTTTGCAAACCTGAATGATCTGTATGAAAAAACTTATATATGATATTTAAGAGAAAGCAGTAGTTGATTTTAAGCAGGACTGCATTTTATGTGCAGGTAATTCTGTCTCAGTTTCCACAGGAGAAAAATTGGCTGTTTATTGATAAACTCTTAAAGCATATGTGCTTTTCTTACACCGGTGTATGAGTTGGATATTTACTGATTCGTTTATTAATATAAGTGAATCAAGTAAGCATGGTGTTTTTTCAGGTTTGCTTCATGAATGTTTATCTATTTTATCAAGTAATTAGCAGATAAAGAGTCATAAACAACAGATAACCACATCTGAGGGAAGAATATGTGAACTTTTGGGACTTCCAAACTTTTCTTGGAAAATGGGAAGCTACATAGTTTGTTGTAAGTGTACACAATTTCACAGCTGTGATGAAATAGTTACCTTTTTTCCCCAAAGGATTTTAAAAGCTATTCTCATGCCCTCATTTTTGTCTAGCATTGTTAGAGAGGGTATTACATTTTGTTATTATTTCAAACAGTAATATTGATAGTCACTTAAAATATGGTAATTGGGATCTGAATGAGTATGTGATGACAGCTGCAAAACAAATTCTGTCTGCGTTAAGGAAGCTCATCTTATGGTTAGAAGGGACAGTGCAAGACTAAGCTGTCTTCTTTCCATTTTGCCATAAAAAGGAGCTGTTAAGGCAAATTGGCAGTTTCTTCAGGATAAAGGTAACAATTGCCAACTACCACTCAGGAGGATAGTGTTAACTTACTTGTGTGCACTTTTCACTCCACAGTTGTGAAGTACAACTCTGTGGTTTAAACCATCCTCATGCAAGAAGAGAGGAAAAAAAATTGTAAGAATTTGTTGATTCTTGATTGTGTGAACACCATCTCACATGTGAATCACATGTGCATTGCCAAGAGCAATAAACATCCACTTTGGGTTGTAGAACCCCAAAACACAAAAATCACTTGTGTTAAGGCTGTGCTGTGCTTGGTGGGATTTCAAGACCCCTACTCCTTTTTGCTCAGCTGGATGTTTTAACCTACAAGAAAGAGTATAGAAGTAGCTAAGTCTTTGTAAAACCACAAAAAGATTTTACATATGGTAGGGAAAAGAATAGATTCCTTTTTCTGCTGGCAAAGACCACCACCACTTCTAAACATAGCGACATATGTCATCATATTTTCTTACACTCACCATTTCCTTTTCACTTTCACTTCTCATTAAAGAAAGCTGAAACATCAGCATTTTTTTTCCCTCATTTCCCTACTCTGTAAATCTACTAAGAAATATTAAGCAGCCGTCATCTGGCAAGCCTGCCTACTTCAGGGTAAATCAAATGGGGCTCTTGTAAAGGTGACGTTTTCAAAGCTTTGTGTGTGAAACTAAACAAATATTTGTGTGACCCTAACTTATACGTGCGGAATTCATATCTACAAATATCAAAGGGGTACCTAATTAGGCACGAGGGTGTGAAAAGAACTGACTTGTGCATACACAGCATGTGTGCTTCAGTATAAACTGTCATTGCACAAATATGTGACTGAGTTGAGTCTTTCTAAATTTTTCGCTTATTTTCTTCCTCTCCTTTGCTCATACTAATAGTTCCTATAAGTCTTGAGTCAGTCAGAAGCTGCATAATCTAGCACATTTTCATCCCCACATGCCAGGCAGTAAAAATCCAATCTCAGAACTCAATTTTTTCCCCTGATTACTGGTATTCATATCTTACATTGACTGAAGTTTCCTGAGCTCTTCTATTAACTCACAGCTATAATAATGACCCTTTTGCTTCAATATTTTTCTTGTGAAATACTGTAATAGTTTTGATTTCTGCATGTTAGTGGAATAGACTTCTTTGCTCTATTAGAATTTAAGCAATACTTTCTTTTGCAAGAAGCTGTATGTCCTGTTGTGCCTACCTGGTATAGCAGTTAGTCATTACATACACAGCCAGTTTAACGCATCGTCATATTCTTAGTGTGATTTAAAGGACCATAGTTTGCTCTTACCTCTATGTAAGGCTTTTGACTCAGTCACTTAGCAATTAACAGCACTGATTTAAGACATTCATATCTTCCACCTGTCTGGTCCCATTGCCCTTCTGAAGATTATTGACCTGGAAGAACTGGCAGAAGGGAAGATATTTCCACCCTGGGCTTTTACTGAGTAAATCCTGGTTTCTGAACACAAATTCATCTTTTTCAGGAATTTAAAATCCGATACCAGACTTTGCAGTGTCATGGTTGTTGCCACATGTTTTCTCCTCAGATAGGGTGGAAACCTGGGGCAGAAGTAGTGGAGAAGGCATAAGGCAGCAAGATCCTCTAAAACGTCACAATTGGGTTCACCGGAAAGATCTTTCTCTGTATCTCTTTTGAATCTAGCATAGCTACCCTCTTACTCTTCCCATCATTCAGAGGATTCAACACTACATCTTTTCATGTTCAACACTCCCATAGAAGCACTTTTGTATGTGAAGCAAGTTTCAGATGTATATCTTTGAAGTGTTTTCCAAAGATCAACATCATTATAGCATTAAATATATGGTCTTACGGTTTACTGTTCTCACCTTTCCCCATCATGTTTCTCTCAGTGTAATTGAAATGCAATGCAGCAGCTCCTGTGGCATTGTAAAACAGTACTTTCTGATGGCATGTTTGTTCTTGTTGCTTAAGCATGCGCTCACTCCAGTGAGGATTCCTTTTTGCAATTTGTAATTATGTTCTGAAAATAAACTAAAGCAGTGTTTCACTCCCTTTATATATTTGAGTGGTATGCTGCAGTAAGCTTTGAAGAAAACCCACAGGTTTGCAGTAGCACTCATTCATGCCATCATGAAATACACTTTTGTATTCCCTGACCAGTACTTAGGTGTCTGATGGGTACTTGTATAATATGAGGACTTACAGGGGTAGTTATAAGAGCAATGAACATAAAGAATATTGTTACTCTTCTCATTTCATCTGACCTTAAGACAGATGTTCTGCAGCTTTTTAACGTGTTACTTTATGTCATTCAAAGCTCTGCTGTACACTAAACAACTATCTAAAGCCTTTGACCTTTTTATGTATTTCTCAGTGTAGGATTTAGTTTTGTTGGGAACATTCAAGCTGAAGTAAAGTAACTTTTGTTTGTGTTATGACTGATTCCTTAAGTTTTCTTTTTTTTTTTCATTTATTTTTTAAGGGAAAAAAATCATATCAGAGCCTACAACTGTTAAGCTTACATCCCTGAAAACTGACAGTGTGAAATTGTCATCTGCTAAAGCTACTCTTAAACCTCCTGTTTTTGAGACTTTGATTACTGAAGTGGCTGTCACCAATACCGAGGTCCCTGGTTTGGAGGAAACAACCCTGGAGACTGAAGAAGATACAGCAATGACTACTGATGTGGCTGAGGAAAAAAGGGAAATGGAGGTGCTTATGGAGAACATTAAGTTAACCACCCTTCTACCTCAGACTGTCACAGATGGTGAAATAAGCACTTATGATACACTGGGAAGGACTGAATACGATGTTTCACCTAGGTTAACAGACAGCACATCTGCAGCTTTGGAACTGGAGCACACTTACTCTGAAGCTGAATTGCCCGAGGAACAAGGTAGGTCTGAAAGCATTGAGGACGCTTTCTTGACCTCTATAATTTTTCAGGATAGAACAGCTGTAGCTAAGAGTTCCACTGGTTCATGGGAAGATGCTGAAACAGGAGATACAGAAAAACATGATGCTGATAATCAGACTGAACAAATAGAAGTGGGTCCTGTGATGACAGCTACAGATAGCTTGTTACCATCTTCTCAGAGAGAGTTTCCCAGGACAGGGACTTCAGTTTCACTAACAAAAGAGAATATATATGTTGGTGCCCACTCAACAAAGGAACCCACAAAAAAGTCAATGGAGGCAAAATCTGACAAGAAACTTACAACTGTTGTAATCCCTAAAGCTTTGTTCACTGATCAGTATGATCTTACTACAGAGAGGGAGGGCAGAGAAAGCATGTACACTGTTATGCCTGATAGAGTTTCTGGCATGGCTACTGGTAGCATCCCAGAATCAGATGTGCCTGCTGCATCAGAGACACTCACAGATGAGCATGTAGTAACCCCTGGACAATTTTCTACAGCAGATGAGTCAACTTCATTAATTAAATTTAGTTCTGCCACAGTGTTTGATAATGAGGCATCAGCTGAAGGAAACAGAGAGGACCTGAAAGATGTGCAGCCTACCATGTCATCTGGAATACCTGTATCTTTTTCTGGATCAACTGTTAATCAAACAGGATCTGAGGCCACCACTCTCTCAGGAAGTACCATTTCCTGGCAAAACATTGGAGAAGGCACCACATCTGTGATCCACTCATCTCAGCAAACTGAAGGGTCAGCAGTTTTAGAGGAGCAGGAAGAAACAAAGGAGCCAGAAATGAGAACAATAGATATTAAGATTCCTCATTCCACAACTGTCATTCCTACAGCAGAATCTGAGGAATATCCTACAAGTGAGAAGTTCACACAGGCTCCTCCAGCTTCTGCCATGTGGCTGCCGACAGATAAAGATCAGGAGGGTATGATGGAAGAGTCATCTCATACTAAGAGAATACATGAGTTAGACACAGAAGATAGTATCTCTGGAATGGAGCCTACATCATCTCCAGGGCAAATTACAGAATATACAAAGCATCCAGGAGCTCCACTTCTGGCAGTTACAGATGCAACTGCCATGGAGCCAGAGGAAACAAAAAGTGATGAAGAAGCTGTATCAGCTGATTTTGATCAGAGTAAAGATACTACAGGTATCTCCCACACAAGCAGCTCTTTGGGTCTGGAAATGATCACAGTATCCAAAACATCAGTGGATGAAAGTAGTGCAACAATAAAGTCTTTCAGGTCCTCAGTTGTTACTGTATTACCAACTGCTATGCCTACAGTCATGGAGGTAACCGAACATGACAGAGATGAAACATCAGGGTATGTCTTCAAAACGTCCATTCCTACCTCAGAAGTTGAACAAAGAGAGGTGGCTGAGACATCAGTAGCAACGCCTGCTGAAGACATCTCCACTGAAATGGAGGTCTCAAAATACACAGTGACAGTGGAAGACCAGACAAGCGTTGCAACATCACCTGAGGGGTGGTCAGTGGTAACGCTTCCAGACAGAAAAGGAACACCATCAGCTGTCTTTGGAGGGACAAATGAATCTAGTATATTTACAGATGGAACAGAGGTAGATACTACAGTTCCACAGAAAGAACATGATGCTTCCCTAGTTCCAGGTACTGTAGAGAGTGAGGTCACTAGAGATGTGTCAGTTACTGTTCGGACTCCTTTTGATGGTATCGTTCATACAGAAGCAACAGGAACAGCCACAAAAGATAGTGCGATGTTCCTAGAGGAATTCACCACAAAGGATCAAGATGAAGAACAAGATACTGCCACAGAGTCTACTTTATCTGTGACATCTGTCCAATCACAGGAAGAAAAGACAGCACCAGGATCTGAATCATCTCAAACAGCTATTCAGGAAAACCAGGATGAGACAGGTTCAGCTTATGATGAGACATATCCAGCAACAGAGGTATCAGTGCCTGCAGTGAAGCTCACAGATTACGGAGTATTTCTGGGACCTGATGAAACTAGCACCAGGGTCTTGCATCTCACAGCGACTCCGAAAGCTGAAGCTGCTACTGATCAAGAAGAGAAGGTCACTGAAGTGGTGCCTGTGACAGCGGGTACCCAGGCAAAACCACATGGAAGTAGTGTGTTTCCCACGAGGAGAGAAGACAGTGATGTTGTGAGCTGGGAATCTGTGTTGCCGCCCCATACGATGCCAACAGGTGATTCTACTGTGGAAAGCATTACTCATCTGACTTTGGGAGCTTCTCCAAGCCGAACTCTGGAAGGTTCAGGAATATCAGAAGAACCTGAAGAAATCAAAACAGCTGTATTTTCAGCTAATGCAACAGATAGAGTAACAACTCTCAGTGATGTGACAACACCTTCCATTAGTGCTGTAGATAAAATACAGCCTACATCAGCATCCAAACCTTTTGTTACTCAGCAGTCACCACGTATCATTCCTGAAGAAGAAGAGGAGGTAACAAGCAATGACATCATCATAATTGATGAATCTATTTCTCCCAGTAAAGCCACTGCTGATGATGATCTGACAGGGAAGATGTTAGAACCAGAAATTGATAAGGAATATTTCACAGCATCAACTGCTACTGCAGTTGCACGACCTACTGCACCACCCAAAGTGAAGGAGGCCACAGAGGCTTTACAACCTCAAGACGTGTCTCCTTCTACTTCACACCCTGATAGTGGGAATGACATAAAGTTGTATGTTATTCAAATCACAGGCAATGATACAGGTAAGATTTTACCTTTCAGACCTGCAGTCCATCAGAATGGGCAGTTTATCCTAGCAAGTTGGTGTACTTTATAATGTACTGGAGATGTTTATTGGATCACTGAAGGATGCAAAGTATGAGTTTTATCTAGACAGCAACTTAGTAAATATTGGTATGTCTATTTTTCTACCCATTAAAGACCCTCAGGAGTGTGTTATATATATGGTTTGGGGTAAGATTAATTTCTATGTAAGAATGAATATGAAACTGTTTATTTCCTCTTAAAAGTCATGATGGCTATAGTTCAATTTTCTTATTTAATATTGCCAAGTCACTGATTTAACATCAGCTATCTGTGAAACAAGCATTTTAATTTCACAGCTTCCATTCCATGCATTACTAGTCCTAAACCAAGCACTAGATTATTTTAACATTCCATTAGTCCGCAGCAATTAACAATGCCATGTACAGTGTAGTCAGCTAAAAAAGGTTAAGGCACTCTACTGCATCCACAAGTGGACCTCCTGTGATTTGAAGGAAGGACTTTTGCACATTTTTATAGCATATCACAAGATTTTTTTAATCCATTTTACATAGTCTTTTGTGCAAATTGACATAATTTTTAGTTCCATTGTATTTTTTTAGCTGATGGCACTATACATGTGTATGTAGCTTCAATTCCATGGGTATCCAGAACAGAAACTCCTGAAGTAGCAATGAACTGTTGAGTTTTATGATGAATATGTCTCCATAATGCAATAGCTGAAGGCTATGCAATTTTACATTAATGAAGCCTGTCAACTGATAACTATTTAAGATGTCTTGGTAAAACCTTATTTTTTAAAATGAGATGTAAAAGAACTGACAAAAAGGATAAAGCTCTAACTATCTATTAGGTTTAATGTTGCATTCTTTTGAATAATTTTATAATTATCTTTTTTTTTTTTTAAAGAAGACAGTAAAAGTTGATTTTATGTCTTATATACCTGAACTATGTGCAATGCTTTTGAATGATAGTATAAGAAACTGTTTTCTTATTGGTTCTTTCTATAACATCCGTATGTTTGATGAACTTATTCAATAGAATTAATAATTTATAGAAGTATTTTTTTGGTTTTGTCAGGTTTGTGCTTGGTAGAGTTTCATTCAAGGTTCAAATGCAGAATTAGTTTCCTTGAGATATGCTGTCTCATTATTGGACTTTCACACAGTGGATTTTGTATCTTTATTCACTTTATGCTTATTATTTTATATTTACAAGATGTAAAACTGCACGTCATATCAGTGTTAGCTTAACCTTCTGTTTCAGAAAATGATAGTTCTGTTATTTTAACATTTAAACACTACTTTTGTTTCTCTGGTATTATTATTTTGTCTGAAGCTTTAGATGTTGCCAGTGTCTTGGAAATCTCAGGTAAATGAGGCAAATCCGGTAAGTCAGAACTGAAGGGTAATTTCTGAAGACTAAAGTTAAGCCACATCTTAAATACTTCTATATCTGTGGAGATTTGGCTAATTCAGCTTAATAATTAATAGTTGGGTGGTGTAGTAGTGAACTAGTCTTCCCTGTTACACTGTTGAGTTATACTACAGTTTATTGGATACGGGAGAGTGGGTTTTGCCAGGCAGTTCAATGTTCCAGTCGGATGGAAAGAAGTAGGATGGTTTGGGAGGGTGTGGAAACCTGTTGTTTTCTCCAGATAGTGCGCAAGGTATATGATTCAGGATTTCTCTGCATATACATCAGGGAAAGTTTTATTTTATACTTTTTTTTTTCAGAATGGTGTGAGTACTGTAATTCATTAAATTAGGAATTAGTTCAAGCTGGATTATCTAAAGGACAGTGGATCAATGCATAGCAGCTCTTCATACCTACTCTTGCTTTCACTTGGGTGAAGAGGCCCCTAGGACAGACTTTCTTCAGGGTTTGCCTTCTTCATCTTCACAAAATTTCGAAAGTTGTGCATGCATTTTCCAGGTATATATGTGCCTATGTATGTGGGTGTTTATAAGCAGAGGTAAAGCTATGCATCCTTAGCATTCTGCCTTTAGGAATGATCTAGTCTGTCAGCATAGAAAAAAAAAATCCTTTTTCTTAAAATATTATTAAATTCTCTGTATGACAGTATGTGTATTCTTTGTAAGCATAAAGGGATTTATCATGATCTAGTGCATTGTCAAAAAGAAGTTTTCTTTTTCTGTTTTCAGAATCTGACAGTGGACATTTCTCCATTTAGCTATCCACAGAGAAAAGACACCCTTTACCTGCTTACCACAAGTTAAGTTAGGGCTGCCAAAGGTTTATTCTGTCTGAGGATTTGGATTGGTATTTTCTTTTCTTTCTCCAGAAATGAAAGACTACATGTGAAAAATCCTGTCAAGCCCTGTTTCGCTTCATTGTTCCTCAGTCTGTAGACTTCTTTTGTGTTGAAGAAAATGTACATAGGAGGTGCTATGTAGGAATGAATTTGGCAAATATTACTAACATTTACCTTTCACTAGGACACAGTTCAACTTGTTATTCTGTCACTTCTTTTCAAAACTGATCCACAGTTATACAAGAACTACATAAACTGTACCTTTAGTTTTTTGTGCTTAGCTAAATGAGAACAAGAAATACAATTTTCATCTTTACATCTCTCTGATAAAACAAAGGTTTTTCCTCCTTTGGCACATTTTCAAGGTTATACAGCTTAGCACTCTTTAATATAATAATCAGTGGGGTTATAAGCAAAGGCCTTCATGATTTTCAAGACAGGAGTCCAAAAGTGCCTCCGAAGAATTGATAACTTGCTTACCAAACCCCTTCAAATAATAGCTGTTTCAAATGGCAATAACAGTGAGAGGTTTGCTATATAAGTGCTATTGTGTATAAAAGAACATAATATTTCCTTTTTGTGTATGCACACGTGCTGGGAATATTTATGACATTAATTTTTTTCCATCTTTCTTCACCTCCTTGTTATTCAGCTTTTGCCAGAAGCAACAGTTTAATAGGGAAGCAGGGCTCAGCAGAATTACGGTACCATGTTTTGTTTCCTCTCAGATGTATCACTTAATTACAGTAAAAACTTGCTATTATACTAACACAGCTGAATATTACTCTCTGCAGCTCCGTTTACCATCTGTAGCGTAGGCGTAATAATATTTAAGTGCTCCATGGAGGTGCTTTTAGACTTTGTTAGTTACAAGCAATATTTTATACTCCATGTGGAAGAGAAGGGTCATGCCAAATGAATGGAGTTTTCAGAGATGCAGACATTTTTAGCAGTTCCCAGAAGCAGGACAGAGCATATCCCTTGTAGCACAGGAGTCCCTTTGCAATCTGTGGGTGTCCTACCTTGGGGTGAAATATGGTGAGAGCAGTCCACGGCTGCTCTGGGTCTGGTGAGTTCGCCTGTGACCATGCACTTGTAGAGGGAGAAGCGGGAAGGGTTTCTTGAGCCTTTCTTCTCAGCCTCAACCCCTTGCTAAACTGGCACCAACTTCACTAAAGCTCTTTGAAATCTTTGGCTGGAATGTGTTATAGATGTATGGAATGTGTTATGGATGTATGGAATGTGGGGGATATTATTCTTCATTATTATGGTAGACTCAAGCTGCACTTGAAAGTTGTTGAATGTTGACTGGGTTAAATTAAATTAAATATAGTGACAAGGGTCTTAATCTGTCTTACACACACCCACCCCTTAATGTGAAGTATTACAATACATAACTGAAAGGTGATATTAAATATTTTCAGTCTTATAATAAAATAAGCCCTTAAATTTATTAGACCAGAAAAAGTTTCTCCTAGAGGACTTCTTTTCTTATGCCATCCAAGAAGTAAACTGTTACACTCCTAGCTTTTAAAATGTGTGCTTGTGATCAATTAAAATTTTCATAAAGGAAATTTCCGTTACTTTTAGATAAAAAAAATTACCCATGGCAACAGAAGTAATTTGGAGGCCTGGTGGAAGGGCAAGCTCGTTAGCTTCAATTCTGGAAAATGCACTCTAGTGCTGATAAGAAAGAACACACCGCTGAATAGATTAAGCTGCTTATTTGTATAATAATACAGCAGTTTTCATTGGGAAACTGTATTGTACAAAAAATCCATATACTTACATGTGAGCAAGTGTGAGGCAGGTGCACAAATTAATGAGGGATATAAGGCATGGTTTTTCTGTCAGCCCATGGCACATGGGCAAATCCAGGGCAGGTGTTCCAGTTAATGAGGAAAATATATTTGTGCATGGAGATACGTCCCTTTTTATGCTACAAAAAGGACCACGCGCATGTTTCATAATAGAAGGAGATGGAGACTTCATTCACTTGAGTGGAACAGCAGCCTATTCCCTTAGGATGGTGACCAAGTTGTGAAAGTGAGAAAGCAAAATAGCACTGCACTGTGAATTGTTATCACATTTGCAGTTTTCCGCTGCATCAGACAGGACACAGGAGTTTGTCTTTTGCCCCAAAGATGCAAAAATTGCCATTCTGTGCCCTTTTTAAGTTCTCATCGCTCCTACGTATTGTAGTGGTGAGGGCTGATGCTGTTGCTGGGAGGTAATGGATTTGCAGCTGAAAAAAACCCCAAACCTGAAGGAACTTTTCAGCTCATAAAGCTTTTATGAGCTGAAAAATGCTTGTGGGGGTGTTGTTTAACAGTGGTTGAGGGGATGCTGGAAACATAACTCCTCTCTGTATCAGGAGTAATTTGCACACCTGCATTTTTTGGAGACATTTAAAAGTCTTTACTTAGTGAATGTATTTCAAAGTGCTTATTGGACCCTGGGACTCACACCAGCTCTGTCTGGTTTCTTGTCCCCTCCAGCTTTGAACAGAATGAAATTGCAGGAACTTGTGCTTTGTGGATGTGGAATTTTATGGAAAAATGTTACAAACCTTTGTGTTTCAACATGTAATTCTCTGACATGCATATTTCTGTTAGCAGTTTAAGAGGGCAGTGAAATTTGAATGAATTGCAGAATGGTAATGAGTCATAATCATAAACCTTAACAAAGAAGGCAGAATAGTCT